GTTTCACCACATTGGTCAGGCTGGTCTTGAACTCCCAACCTCAGGTGATCCACCCGCCTTGGCCTCCAAAGTGCTTGGATTACAGGCGTGAATCACCGCGCCCAGCCCTTTTCTTTTTTCTTTTAATTATTATTTAAAAAAAAATTTGTGGGCACATAGTAAGGATATTTGTTTATGGGGTGTCCACCCCGTCAAGCATTTATACTCATTTGAGTATCATTTTTAAGCTGCTCCACACAGAGCAGGGCTATGCCATGGCGCAGAGCCTTCTTTTTGAATGTCAGCTTCACGATCATAAATATCTCCTTTAGCAAAACTGCATCTCCTAAGTTTTAAGTTGTTTCTATTTGTCTCCAAGTATTTTGTGATTTCTTCCTTGACCCACTGAGAGTGTGTTGTTACATTTCTACAAATTTGTGATTTTTCCAGATTTCCTTCTGCTCTAGATTCAGAGATGACACTTTGTATAACACTTTTTTCTTTCTGTTTAAGAAAGAAAGACTCTGGGGGAGTCTCCCTATGTTGACCAGGCTGGTCTTGAATTCCTGGGCTCAAGTGATCCTCCCGCCTCGGCCTCCCAAAGTGCTGGGACTATAAGCTTGTGCCACTGCCACAGGGCTTTAACATCTGTCTTTTTAAATACATTGAGACTTGATTTGTGGCCTGACATATGGTCTCTCCTGAAGAATGTCCTGCGTGCTCTTGCAGAGCGCCCGCGTTCCATCGCGGTCGGGAGGTGTTCTCCGGATGCGTTGGAGCTGGTCGTTTCCTGTTGTTCGAGGCCCCTACGGCTGAAGGGAGGTGTCCAGAGTGTGCACCCTTCCCTGTCGGCTGCCATGACATGCTTCCTGTGACCTGTCCCTGTTACCACTTCGCTGTCTCGGGGGCCTAACAGTGCCTGCCTACGGGGCCCTGTCTGGCTTCTTCTCATAAGGCTGGCCCCCTGAATAACCCCTGCCTCCTCCAAGCCCGGTTTCCTCCAGAGGTGTGGTCGCAACTCAGTTCTCTCCCCACCAGTGTCCATGCTGTCTCTCTGCAGCTGGAGCCAACTGGGTCCAGTAGGAACTGGGCCTGGGCTGGCCAGAGGCTCTTCCCAGAACATCTGAGCAGCAGGACTGGCCCTGCCTGGGAATGGCTGTTGGAATCAAAGTGGAAAATTGCTGGTTTGAAACATTTATAAACACAGCCCAGCAATACAGAAGGGAGTGGTGTGGCTGGTTGCTTAGGAGAAAAGCCTCAGGACATCGTGGACCTAAACTTAGACCAAAAAAAAAGAAAGCATAAATGAAACAGGGTGACCTCCCAGACCGGACACAATGCAACCTCACAGCGTGGCTTAAACACTGATGACCATTTCCTTTCTGCTCGACAACATAGTGCTTTAAGTTTTAAGACCAGTGTTGCCGGGCGCGGTGGCTCACGCCTGTAATCCCAGCACTTTGGGAGGCCGAGGCGGGTGGATCATGAGGTCAAGAGATCGAGACCATCCTGGTCAACATGGTGAAACCCCGTCTCTACTAAAACTACAAAATATTAGCTGGGCATGGTGGCGCGTGCCTGTAATCCCAACTACTCAGGAGGCTGAGGCAGGAGAATTGCCTGAACCCAGGAGGCGGAGGTTGCGGTGAGCTGAGATCGCGTCATTGCACTCCAGCCTGGGTAACAAGAGCGAAACTCCGTCTCAAAAAAAAAAAAAAGACCAGTGTTGACACAGTTGAGGTAAAACAGATCCAACACTATTTTCTCAGAGGAGCTGCAAGCTAGACTCTTGGAAGCGCATGCACACCGACATCTGCTGGAGCCTCGTGGCCTGGAAACAGCCCCTCGGGGCACTTTGTCTCAACACCCTTTCTGGTGGTGCCAACGCATTCCAGTCCATGTTCCCCACACTCCAAGGACGCCGTTCGTGGGCACCTGTGTGGACAGGCTTGGGAGGGAGGTCTCAGGAGAGGAGAATGCAACTCCAAAACCCCACATCCAGGAGAGCCAGCACAAGGGACCCAGGGCCACGTGGAGACACCCACAGCTGACACGGGATGCGTTCTCTCGGGGCATCTACAATTCTGCAGCAACTTTCAAGAATTCGCATTTTTCTTGTTTCTGCTGAGATGCAGATTTCAGATTTGCTGAAATTTACCGCTGACACTTGTTCTGAGCCCCAGAATTCCTCTCCCTGCTCAGAGCCTGCAGTGGACAAAGGTTTCCCCAGGAAACCTGAGGACCCAGTCATGATTGACCTCAAGTGTCCTTGGGGCGCCTTCTGCTCCAGGCCAAGCAGGAACGAATGAGACAGAAACCAGCGAACTCCACGTGCTGCCTCCCTCCCCCTCCCTCCACACACCCACGCACACAGAGGCTGCCACGGACACACCCAGTCCTGTACATGTGCATACACACTGATGCATATGGACATGCTCACAAGTGTATACTGACCTATATGCATGTACATACCAGCCGTGTGTTCACTCATCCTCATGTACATGCACAGAACCGTGCACACATCCACCCACGTGCACACTGGCTTCACACAACAGCGAGAAGGCGAGCTGGACACTCAGGAAGGTAGTCCCTCAAGGCAGCGTCCAGTGTCTGTCCCTCCCAGCAGGACCCCCACACGCCACCCCTGCTAGAGGCTTTGGCTTCCAAAGTCTGGTGGGTTCAAAGCTGGGTAGGCAGGACGGCAAGGATACAGCCCTGCCTGGGACGGCCTTCCTGGAGGCGGAGGGGGCATGGCAGGGACCCAGGAGGGCTGGGCTGGTGGGTGATTAAGACGGGAGCCACATGGTGTAAGAACAGAGCCTTTACTCATGCTTGGCAACAGCAAAGCAGGAGGCAGAGGGGGATGACGGCCCCTGCCCCATGTCCCCCGTGGAAGCCACTGGGCAGGGAGGTGGGTATGTAGGAATGGGTGGATCAGGAGTGGTCTCAGTCCAGGGAGCCCCAAACAAAAGGCTCCTGCTGTTGATGGGCCCAGGCACAGTGGGGCAGGAGCAGGACCCAGAAAGGAGTCATGTCTGTGGGCCCAGTCAGGAGGCCTCCGAATGAGGCCTGGGGGCTGGCAGCAGAGCTTGGCCCGCGAGCTTGGCCTTCCTGGGCCTGAGTCCCCACTGCCATCCCTGGCCATGCACCCAGCCTGTGGCAGAGAGGGTGGCATCCCCCACAAACCCTGTCAGGCTAAGCCCTTGCAATGGCCGTGGACCAGGACCTCAGCCTGGAGCCTGCTCCTCAGCACCTGGTCAGCCTGGCTCCCGCCTTTGGCAGTAAGCAGTGGAGCCCAGACACCAGACTAGCCAGAGGGTCTGCCAGACGCCTGCATCTCACTGGCGTGGCTGTGGCACCTGATGGAGCCCACTGAGGCCATGGGGGGCTCCAGCTCCCCGCAGCTGGGATGGAGCCCAGGCAGCTGTGGGTCAGGGTCACTGGTGTCACTGAGAGGTCAGAGCGCCCTGCTTCTGCCTGGGACACCAGTCCGTGTCTGGGTAGAGAAGGCAGTGGACAGACTTAAACCTGGGAGGCAAGAAGTGGGGTCACGGCTGTGGAGGGGCATGCCGATGCCAGCACCCCCATGGGGCTGAGGGCCCGCCCATACCACTGCCCACTCACCGTGTGGGGTCCTGCTGCAGGCTGAAGCCTCTGGCCACGTTCACCACGTTATGTGGGTTCTCAGGACCCCCATAGCTCAAGGTCACCTGGGAGGGAATAGTATGGGCAGAGTGTGGTCTGCTCTGGTCTTGGGCCATGCCTCTCCCTGGCCAGGAGCCCTGCTAAAGCCCCCTTGCCCATTCCTTTCTCCCCACATCCTTGGGGAGGCCAGGCTCAGGAACAGCACTGAAGGGTGGCATGAGCTGAGCAGGGGACACCTCAGGCAGAGCCTGGGGGACAGGGACGGGGGATCCGAAATCTCCAGACCAAAGCTGCCCCCCATTCCCTCTCTGATCCATGTGATGAGACCCGCTCGAGTGCCCGTCACCACAAAGACCATGCCCCCTGCCCCAAGCGCCGCACTTTTCCCCTCATCTCTCTGCCTGACAGCACACCCCGACTGTACCTGAGGAGCCTGTCCAGCAAGCAGGGAGTCTGTCCAGGATCCACCCCCAGCCACATGCAAATCCCAGCCGGGCATCAGGCCGGGCAGTGGGGCCACTGGGGGAGCTGGGGTGGTGCAAGGCCCCTGTGGCAGAAGCCGGAGTGGCACCTGTACCTGCTGGAGCAGGGTGTCCGGTGGCAGCCTCTGCAGGTTCTCCAGGTGGGAATGGAAGAGGGGGCTGTGGAGCAGGCGGGCGCCCAGGAGCCCCTCCACGATGTAGCCCACCGTGCAGTCATCTGGCAGCCGCACCTGCTCAGCCGTGCTCAAGAAGCTGCCCAGGCTGGGGGGAGGCCGGTCAGCGCCTTTCAGGTCTCAGCCTCCGCCTCCCAGCCCGGGCAGCTGGACCCCCCACTCACCTGGCCCATGGACTCATCTTCAGGGCGAGGCCTCTGCTGAGACAGAACCCGGCCCCACCAGTAGCAAACCAGAACTTGACTGTGGTCACCTGGGGATGGGGTGCTGGTCAGAGGTGCTCAAGACAGGGCTTCTCACCCCTAACTCTTCGTGGGACTCCCCAGTCTTCTTTCTTAAGCTGCCCCTTAGGACATCCTGCCCAGGTAACAGAAGCTTTCTGGTGTAGGAGGAGCTGGTGGCTTCTACAGGTCATTGGTCCCTGGTCTCCAGACCCTCCCCACCTGGCCCAGTCCCAGGCTCGCAGCTGGGGTCAGGTCAGGGGCCTGGCCTGCTCCGGAAACACCACGCAAACCACCTGGATGGGTCAGATTGGGCCCGGCACTACGCCCTTCTCACCCAGCTTTCCATGCCCTCTGCTGTGCCTCCCGGGCTGGCTTCAGGGAAGGGGTCTGCCCCCGCACTCACAGTTCTGCCACCCTGGACCCTCTCCGTGGCCTCGATGGGGTGGTCCAGGCTGGGCCGCCCCAGGTAGACATCCTGGCTGGGTGAGAAGCTGGAAAGCAGGTGCAGGAGGCTCTTGGGGTTCACATAATTGTCATCGTCTACATGGCAGAACCACCTGTGGGTGGGGGGAGTCCCTTGTGTGAGGGCCTGGCACAGGTGGGCGGGAGGCACCCCCCCAGCTTGGTTCTGGGCTCTGCCGGCGGGGCGGTGCCTCGTACTTGCGCCCTGACTCGATGAACGTGTCGTACTCCACGGACATCTTGCAGCAGAGGGCCTGGCGGGTGCGAACGGCGGAGCAATTGGTGTTGATGACACGACCGCCTGCGATTCAGAGACGGGAAGCAGGTGGAGGCTGGCACGGGGACCGGGGTAAGTCCCGTGCCCGCCTGCCCCCGAGGGCCAGGGCACAATCTGGCTGGCTGACATGCCCGGACACCTTGCCTAGGTCCAGCCACAGCCCTGGCCCTCGCGCGCTGACCCTGCTGGTGCCCCTGGGGCTGAAGTGGATGGCCACTCGTTGAGACGTCTTGAGTGGAAAGAGGATGGACGCAGCGCGCCCGGACTTGGACTGGAAGGGCGGATTCCCTGCTGGGGCTTCTCCAGGGGGCCTGGCAGTAGCTCCACACCCTAGGACGCGGCCAGTGTGAGGGGCCGGCGGCGAGCAGGGCTTGGCTGGCAGGGTGGGCCCCCGCGGGCTGTGTGGCCCGGGCCGCGCCGCGCATGGCCCCCCCCCCGACCTCCTGAGCTCCCGGCAGCGCAAGGGCCGCAGCTCCGGGGCTCGGAGGCAGCGGGGAGGGGGGCGCGGGCAGGTCCCGCGGGCGCCGGGGCTCGGGAGACACTCACCGCCCTGGAGCTGGAGCGCAGGGTCGTCCCCGTCGGTGAAGATGAACGTCTGGGGGAGAAACGATCCGTGAGACGCCGGGGGCGCTGCCCAGGCCGGGACCGACCCGCGCCACGCGGAGCCCCCGGGGCTGGGCCCTGCGAGCCGGGGCGGCTGGGGCCCGGCGCACCTGCCGGCGGGCCCGGGAGATCCAGGTGCGCAGCAGCAGCCGCAGGCGCGGCCCGTGGTTCTTCCGGGTGGTCTTGACCGCGATGAAGACGTCGTCCGGCCTCAGGCTGGGGGCGGCGGACGCGGGCTGCGGCGCGCGCGGGCCCGGGCCCGGGGTCCGGGCGGGGGCGGGCGCGCGCGGCGGCGGCAGCGGCAGCGGCAGCGGCAGCAGAAGCAGTGCGGCCAGGGCCGCGGCCAGCGCGAGGCAGGCCCGGCACAACGCCCCGTGCGCGCGGCTCATGCGGCCGCCGGGACCCCGGCGCCGGGAGCGGAGGGCCGGGCCGGAGCCGCGGGCGGACTGCGGCCCCTTTAAGAGCCCGGCGGCTCCGCCCCGCCCCGCGCCCCGGAAGAAGAGGCGCCGCTGCCCCGGAAGCGGACGGCACGCCGCGGCGGGGTGGGTGCAAGATGCCGCTGCCGGTTCAGGTGTTTAACTTACAGGTAACGAGCCGCGGCCGCGCCAGGCCTCCGTGCCCCCGCGCCCCTCGCCGCCGGGGCCGGGCCGAGGGACAGCCGGGGAGCGGGGCCTGCGCCAGGAGCCGCCGGGCGCGCTTCGTGCCGGGCCTCGGCGGGCAGCGCGCGTCTCCGCCTGGGCCGCGCCCGCCCCGCCTCCCTCCCAGCAGCTCCCGGGAGCGGCTCCCGGCCGCCCGACGCTAACGCTTTTTCTCCCTGCAGCAGCCAGCCAGCTCTGTGTCAGGGTCGGGGGGTGCAGAAAGTCAGGACAGAATGAGGGATAGCTCGGCCCCCAGCTCGGCCTCCTCGTCAGTGACAGATCTGTACCGCACCCCTCACAGCAGTAGGTCAGACCTCGTCCTGCCCGGCACGGCCGGGGACTTCAGCCTGAGCGCCAGCCTGTCGGCCTGTACGCTGCTCTACGAGGTACCTTCCAGGACAGGGACCCCCGAGCGAGGGAGGGGGGAGCAGGGCCCCGGCCGCCCCCGCTGCGGCCGGGGCCCTGCTGCTCTGCCGGCCGAGGACAGGGACGCCGTGCCAAGCGCAGGAGGGGAGGGCGCCCCGTGGGCCCGGGGCCTGCGGAGGGAGCCGAGCTCTTGGTGCTTTTCCCGAAGGAGCGCGGAGGCCCACGGGTCCGGCGGGGCTCCGCACGGCGGCTTTTCCAGCCGACTTCGTTTTAAGCCGAGGTCCCGGCTCCTCTGTGTTTCCCAGCTGGGGGCCGTGGGGCTCCCTTTTCCCCCTTCTCCCAACCCGTGGCGTGACTCTCGGCCCGGTGTTGCTGCTCCGCTGCTCAGGACAGATTCCGGGGCCGTCCCTGTTGCCTCGGGGTTGAGGTGGCATCCGGTTCTTTGTGACTTGGAGGAAACTGCATCAGGACGGTGGCTGGGAACGTGTGGGGGCCCTCAGGAGCCCCTGTGTCGTTGGTTGTCCCATGTCTGCTTTTTGGCTTTCAGAGATGAGCAGCTAGAATCAGGCCAGGGGTTTCTGCTTCTGAGCTTTGGAGTTTTGTGAGGAGACCCCTCCCCGATGTGGTGGCACAGGAGCCTGGGTGGGAGTGAGGGTGGTTGGGAGGGCACACCTGGGGAACAGCAGCAGTGGGAGTGTGGTCCTATCAGCCTGGTCCGAGAGACCTCCGGCAGAGCTGAGCTCAGAGAACAGTGCAGGTCTCTCACCCTCCTGGGGCAGTCCCCAGAACGAGGTGCCAGGTGCCTGGCCCATGTTGCAGGGGGCTGTGGAACCCATGCAGATCGACGTGGACCCCCAGGAAGACCCGCAGAATGCACCTGATGTCAACTACGTGGTGGAGAACCCCACCCTGGTACGGAGTTCTGTACGGGACCTTGGGTGTCTTAGTTTTGCTGGGGGGTCCAGGGCAGACTCCCCTCTGCAGCCTGCACAGCAGGTAGAGTGATCCTTCTCAGTGATCTATGTCATGTCTTTTTCTGACTCCAAAACTATCAGAGTTTCTGATTGTCCACTCACATCGGGCTTGTGCCTCAGCTTCAGATGCTGCTCACAGAGGAGCCAGGGCCAGTCTCCCCACTGCTCAGCCCAGTGACCAGCAGTCACTAGTGGGCGTCCATCCCTGAAACTGGGTGCTGCCCCAGGCCTACCCAGGCATCTCTGCAGCACCTGGGACAGCAGTCAGTCTTGCACCCCTGTGCCCATGTGCCCGGTTCCTGTTGTGGGCCCAGGGCGGCATTCTGGCTGGGAGGCAATCGGGCCCCAGCTCCTGACCCTCAGGCCTGGGGCTGGGGTTCCACCTCACACACCCTGCCTGACCTGTGTGCGCCCACCCCCAGGATCTGGAGCAGTATGCAGCCAGCTACAGTGGCCTGATGCGTATTGAGCGGCTGCAGTTCATTGCTGATCACTGCCCCACGCTGCGGGTGGAGGCCCTAAAGATGGCCCTCTCCTTCGTGCAGAGAACCTTCAATGTCGACATGTATGAGGAGATCCACCGCAAGCTCTCAGAGGCCACCAGGTGAGGTCAGGGGCTTGGCAAGAGAAAGCAGAGACCTCCAAGGGAGCAGGTGTCTGGGGCTGGGCCCCCTTCCTGTGCCCCTTCGATGGAATTCAGGCGAGTGGAGAGTGGAAGTGCTCTCTGTGGTGTGGCTTCTCTGTGCGTGTGCACACAGGGATTTGATTCCGAGGGGAGCTGTTGGAGACCGTGGCTCAGGACATCCCCCTGCTGGCTTCCCCACCTTGCTGTGGGCTCCTGGCATCAGCAGTTACTGCTGCGGCCCTGGTGCAGACTGGTCCCTGGAGACAGGGTTTGGAGCCAGTGGAAGGGGCCCACCTGCGTGTTAGGGCTTCAAGGGCAGCCTTAGGCTGGCGGCTTCCTTTTCTCCTCCGTGGCGCCTGTGACCATCGCCATCCTGATGGCCAGGTCCTCTCTCAGGGAGCTGCAGAACGCACCTGACGCCATCCCTGAGAGTGGCGTGGAGCCCCCAGCCCTGGACACGGCCTGGGTGGAGGCCACGAGGAAGAAGGCCCTGCTGAAGCTGGAGAAGCTAGACACGGACCTGAAGAACTACAAGGGCAACTCCATCAAGGAGAGCATCCGGCGCGGCCACGACGATCTGGGCGACCACTACCTGGACTGTGGGGACCTCAGCAACGCCCTCAAGTGCTACTCCCGGGCCCGGGACTACTGCACCAGCGCCAAGCACGTCATCAACATGTGCCTCAACGTCATCAAGGTCGGCCTGCCCCAGCGGGGGGGCGGGGGCATTGTGGCTGGGCCGTCGGGGCACCCAGGCTTACTTGGCCCTGCCCCCGCCCACCAGGTCAGCGTCTACTTGCAGAATTGGTCTCATGTGCTGAGCTACGTCAGCAAGGCCGAGTCCACCCCGGAGATTGCCGAGGTACAGGCTGCCGCCTCAGAGACCTTGCCTCAGGATTCCTGACCACTGTGGCCCCTGCTGTCCTCCCCCGCCACCTTATTCACCCTCCCACAGTGGATCTCCCTTCTCCTCTCGGTCTGGGGTTGGGCATCAAGCTCCAGGAAATGGGCCTCACACATGTGGCTTCCCCCTGCAGCAGCGAGGAGAGCGTGACAGCCAGACCCAGGCCATCCTCACCAAGCTCAAGTGTGCCGCAGGTAAGGGCCTGGGCTATGCCCAGCTGGCCCCACGTTTCCGTGTTGCTGAGTCCTCCCAGCCCAGGGCAGTAGCTGGTCCCTACCTCGGCCAGGTAAACCTTCCCTGGCAGGACGAAGGATGTTGTAGGGCTCGTGTGCGGGTGTAGGTGGTGCCTAGGCTGCCCCAGGTAAGCCAGGGGTGACATGTTGTCAGGGTCTGGCTGCTGTCACTGTGGGCCTGGGGCAGGTCTGCAGCCCGAGCCACTCTGAGCCCGGTGTCCTTTGCAGCCATGCTAGCAGCGTAAGGCTTCCCTGCACACCTAGCTTCAGGGAGCCTGCTGGGCACTGGTGAGGCTGTTTCCATCTAGGACTAGAGTATCTCCCCAGTGCTGAGGAACAGCTCCCGGGCAGGAGAGGCCAGTAAGCCCCTGATGGTCGGCTTCCTCCTCAAGGCATTAGTGGCTTCCCTGAGGCTCTGGGTCTTACCCCTTCTTCCCCCCACCACTCCCCCTCCACTAGGCTTGGCGGAGCTGGCCGCAAGGAAGTACAAGCAGGCTGCCAAGTGCTTCCTGCTGGCTTCCTTTGATCACTGTGACTTTCCTGAGGTAAGGGACCCTCTTGGGGACTTGGGAGACCAAGCATGGGCTCATGGGTTGGACTGCTTTTGTAGGTGGGTGGGTTCTCTCAGAGTAGAGTCTTAGGCATTCTCTGAATGGGTGATGGGGCAGGGGTGGCCTGGCCCTTCTCTGCCTGTGATGCCGGGTCTCTGCTTCTCAGCTGCTGTCCCCCAGCAACGTGGCCGTCTATGGTGGCCTGTGTGCCTTGGCTACCTTTGACCGGCAGGAGCTGCAGCGCAACGTCATCTCCAGCAGGTGGGTGCCCTGGTCCTGCAGTCCCCCTCCCTCTCCGCAGGCCACTTCTTTGGCCTTGCACATCCTGGTCCCCTGGCCCCACCATCTTCCCATGGTTTGTTTGGGGACTGGTGTCCCACTGGCAACTTGGAGGGCAGGGGCAGGCAGAGGCCTGAAATTGAGGGTCTGCCTCAGCAGCTCCTTCAAGTTGTTCTTGGAGCTGGAGCCGCAGGTTCGAGACATCATCTTCAAATTCTACGAGTCCAAGTACGCCTCGTGCCTCAAGATGCTGGATGAGATGAAGGTGGGGCCCGGCCCGGGGTGGGGGTGAGATGGGGTCCTGTCTGGCCTCCTGTCCCGGTTCTGACCAGCCCCTTCCCCAGGACAACCTGCTCCTGGACATGTATCTGGCTCCCCATGTCAGGACCTTGTACACCCAGATTCGCAACCGTGCCCTCATCCAGGTAAGCATGGGGGTCAGGCTGGCACACAACGGGCAGGTGGATGGGCATGTAGGGCACCGTGGAGCTGACTTTCCTCTGTCCTGCAGTATTTCAGCCCCTACGTGTCAGCTGACATGCACCGGATGGCGGCGGCCTTCAACACCACGGTGGCCGCCCTGGAGGACGAGCTGACACAGCTAATCCTGGAGGGATTGATCAGTGCCCGCGTGGACTCCCACAGCAAGGTGGCCGTGGGCTGTGGGGTGGTGGGAGTGGCCGTGGGGGAGCCTGAGCCCCACTGAGCCTGTGTCTCTGCAGATCCTATATGCCCGGGACGTGGATCAGCGCAGCACCACCTTCGAGAAGTCTCTGCTGATGGGCAAGGAGTTCCAGCGCCGCGCCAAGGCCATGATGCTGCGCGCAGCCGTGCTCCGCAACCAGATCCATGTCAAGGTGGGCAGGCGTCAGTGGGTGGGCAGGTGCGGTGTGTGGCACGTGGGGCCTGGTGGCTTAGTTGCTCCTCGTCTCCTCGGCAGTCCCCACCCAGAGAAGGGAGCCAGGGGGAGCTGACTCCAGCCAACAGCCAGTCCCGGATGAGCACCAACATGTGAGGGCGGCGCTTGGCCTCCAGGACATCTGCACCCCGCCCCCACCCCACGGACCTGCCCACTTCCAGGCGGCTCAGTGCTGCCTTCGGCCCAGCTGAGGACCTGGCCACTGGGTGCTCCCCAGCCTGCGTGCCCTTGCCAGGGCTGGGGAGGCAGGCGGCTGCTAGTTGTGGCCCTTCCTGGAAAGAGAGGCCTGGAGGGCTCAACCCCATGGGTTTCTGTCCCCAGGGAGCAGACTGTGGGGCACCCAGGCCCAGTGGCACCACTTCCCGAACCCCTCCTGTTCCCGCCTTGGTTAGGTGCAGACAAGTGGGCAGTATCCATTAAAAAGCAGACTGAGCGTTGCCCTTGGCCGTTCCTTCCTGTTGTGCAGGCTCTGGTCACCCCTGGGTGGCCTTGGGTTCTTGAAGGCTGGCTCCCTGGGGCTCGGCTTGGAGGCAGGGGTCCCTTGGGCTCAACAGCCCCCAGCGTCGGCCACTGTTGCCCGACAGGCCGTGCTTCCAGGCTGGCGGCATCAGGAAGCTCCCAGAGCGCTGGCCGTAGAGCCTATGGGGGAGGCAGGCTTGGGCCCTAAGTCAGTCCCCCGTTCCTCTGCACAGATGCACATGTGCTGCCTTCGTTTAGACGCATCTTGTTGTTCAGAAGCCCTCACTGGCCCTAACAGCACCTGCCCTGGCTCATACCTCCCTGGGTCTGGGGGGCGGCGATCACAGGCTATGGCTCTGGCATCTTTGAAATGATTTATTGTCCGCTTTTGCACACGCGTGCTGAGGACAGGGCAGGTCCAGCCTGGGGCCTGCTCCCCACTGCAGCATTCCAGGCCCCCAGAGCGGGCCGAGGGGGACAGGGCGCGTCTTTCCACGTTAAGTAAGGGGAGATTCCCTGAGTAAAAGACGTTTCCTTAAGTAGGACGTGTCCGGGCTCCAGGAGCGGTCCTGGGGGTGGGGGTTCTGGGCCTTCAGGCCAGAGCACTACTCATGACTTCTGAGAAGCCACCTGGTGTGCTGGGCGTGGCCGTCTGAGGCTCCTGCAGCTCAGGCTTGGTCCCTTTCCAGGCCAGAGACTTCTCCAATTTGGTTTTAAAAAGCAATCCGTGACCTGGCAGAGAGAGGAGAATCGGGGGTCAGGTGGCAGAGGGGTCTGTCTGCTCACGGGGGGCGGGTGGCAGGTGGCCTTACCTGGGCAGTCCGCGGTCTCTCTGGAGGCTCGCTTCTTGCAGCAGCCGCGGCACAGGCTGAACACGCATCTGTTGCCCTGGGAACAGGAAAGCTGGGGAGCCTGCGGCCAGCATGGATCCCGGGGACAGGTAGCCAGCAGGGGAGCAGCCCGCCGGGGAAGCCGCCAGCAGATCCCCATGGCCTGGATGCAGCCCTGGGACCCCCTCACCCCAACCCACCCAGACTTATTCCCACTCCAGGCCTGGACAGGGGGCTGGCTGGAAGCAAGGGGTCCTCCTGAGGCACCCATGCCACCTTGGGCACACTACAAACCCAGCTGGGCGGGCACCAGACCTGCCACCCCAAGCAGCGCAGGGACAACCTTGCCCACCTCCCCTCCCCTTCCCCCCCGAGGTGAAGCCTTGGCGGCATGCAGCTGAAACCCACTCACCTTTGGGTTTCCACACTGGTCACACTTTGCATATTTTGCTGGGAAAAGAAAAGGGTGCTGGTGAATGAGAGCTGGGTGGCCTAGCTACGGGGGCTGCCCCGTCACCTGCATGGAGCCCACTGACAGTGTCCATGCCAGCTGTGGCCAGCCAGGCCAGGAGGCTCTGGGAGGGCAGAGGATGCAGGCTGGCCACATCTGCTTTCCCCTCAGCAAGGGACGGGTGAGGGGATGTGGGGGGACCATCCTACAGGAAATGGATAGGAAGCGGGTGGGCTGGGGGACCCTGGCAGGATGAGCAGCCTCGTCCATCCCACTCCCAGGCAGGGACAAGGGGACGGGTGTTCCCACCCCCAGGGTTCAAAGGGGTTCCATGCTCTTCAGTGCCAGGTCTCCCAGGCAAAAGGGCCAAGGATCAAGAACTCAGCCCAAAGCCCCATTTCCTGCCTCTTCCAGCTGCCTCACGCAGTGGCCCCGGGGGGCAGTGTGGCAGTCAGGGATTGCTGGCACCAGGCTGATGTGGCAGCTGCTCATGCACTGGCCCGCCCCCTGGTGTTACATGGGAAGGTTGCACTCAGTGGTCCCCCTGCAGCTTGTAAAGCTGTCGGAGAAATCTGGGAGGCCGCTACCTGCTGAGGGCCCAGATGGGTTGGCCCAGGATGTGGGGGGCACCAGCATTCTCAGGGGAGACAGCACCGGGCTGAAGCCTTGCCGCTGGTGGCCATGAGGAGAGGGGTGAGCACCTTCATCCTGTCTCACCCAGCCTGCCCTGCTGCCACTTCTGGCCCAGCAACAAGACCCATGCAAACGCTCCTGCGTACCCCTGCCGCCCTCTCAGTGGCTGCTCAGCGTGAGGTGGGGCAGGGACAGCTGCAGCGACCCAAGGCCCTGACCTGCAGACGAGCCCCTCAGTGGCCACCTGGGTGGCACCTGGCTGAAAGGCTTGTTCCACAGCCTCGTCTGATTTCACTGAGCCACGTCCCACATGTGGGGCCTGCACAGGTTCCCGCACTCAGACCCCAAGTCTGGCTGACCACGCCAAGTCCCCAAGCATCTGCTTCCAGCTCTGGGCCTTGAGCCTCCCTGACCACAAATGTGGGCTCCTGTCAACTGGCAACGGAGGAGACGAGGAGGATAAAGGGGCTGTTGTCTCAGGCCCATCAGCACTTACGCTTCAGAGAGGGGTCGAAGGTCTTGTGGGGGTTCCTCAGCTGCTTCTTCTGCTTGTTCTTGGACAGGACTTCCGTGCCACACTCCTCCTCCTCCAGGGCCCGCTTGCTGCGCGCACCTGCCTTCTCCTTGCTCCCCTCCCTGGGCCTGTGGGGAGGGCAGCGGGCAGAGCCCAAGGACACCGTGAGGGGCCCAGCAGCCACAGCCACATGGGTGGGACCCCAAGTGAGGACCCAGGGTGAGGAGAGGCCAGGGGTCTGTGGCGAGTGTGGTCGCTGAGGAGCGTGGGCAGCGTGCAGCCCTCTCAGGAGTGGCCGCTAGGGAGGCTGGGCCCCCTGGATGGAGTTTGCACCTCAAGCAGGCCAAGGTCTGAGCCACCAGGTCCAGGCAGGGATGTGGCTACAGATGGGCCTCACCTCTGAGAACCCAGTGGAAGCTGGGGTCAACCTCTTGACCCACGGACAAATCTCCCAGGATCACAGGAGCTCAAAGAAGTATCTTAAAAGATTTAAGGCAGAGCATGGTGGGCCAGGGCAGGGGGATCACGAGGTCAAGAGATCAAGACCATCCTGGCCAACATGGTGAAACCCCCCATCTCTACTAAAAACACAAAAATTAGCTGGGCGTGGTGACAGATGCCTCTAGTCCCAGCTGCTTGGGAGGCTGAGGCAGGAGAATCACTAGAACCTGGGAGATGGAGGTTGCAGTGAGCCAACATCGTGCCACTGCACTCCAGCCTGGGTGACAGAGAGACTCTGTCTCAAAAAAAAAAAAAGATATTTAAAATCCAAGTGTCCACTGAGGGAGGCTGAGCCACCAACCAGCACCCTCCACCAAGGATGCTGAGAGGCACATGGAAGGTGCATGCTGCTGGGATCCGTGGCCCCCCTCCTCCTTTCCCTCTGGGGTGGGAGCTGACCCTGGTGGCTGAGGACAAGCGGGGCAGGTGCACCACTGCGGGCAGAGGGTGGAGCACTCACCCTGGCCGGACGTAGGGCTGGCAGATCCAGTGGAAGGGCAAGTCAGCGGCGGGCTTCGCTCCCTCCTGCCTGGATATCTCCTCCTGCAAAAGCCCAAGGCCCTGGTCATGGCCCCAACGCCTCACCCACGACAAGGCTGGGCTCCCACCAGTCCCCGCACGTGCCTGACACCGCATCTTCAGCTCCTGGCTCACGGCGGCAATGCCCTCCAGGGTCTTCACCTTGGCCAGCTCCTCTCGAAGCTGCTGATGCACCTGCAGCCTGAGACAGAGGCCCTGTCATGCGGGGTGGGCCCCCTGCTCCACCACCAGGCCCCAGGCTGAGTGCCGGGCACACTCCTGCCCAACTCCACTCCTGTCACCCCAGCCCCTCAAGACCTGACTTAGCAGCAAGTTATTTTGACAAAACTTGCAGAAATGCCTCAGACGGGCTCTGATGGTCTCTGCCTGGGCAACCCCCCAGCGTGGCTTCTGCCATAGGGACGACTCACGTGTGGTGCCACAGCTTGAAGAGGTGGGCCCGGACGTAGGACAGTGGGCAGGGGTGCTCCCGCACAATGTCAAGGTATTCCTCGGCCAGCTCCCACACGGCAGGGCTCCGGCCCTCAAACAGGGCGGGGTTGTGCAGGTTGCCTTCTGTGGGAGGAGAATGGAGAGGGAAGCCTTGTGGGCTGCTCCAGGTGGATGGCAGAGGAAAGCCTAGAGCACCCAGGACACACTCCTGTGCCACCTCACACCAGGGACAAGGCCAGCTCCGGCCCATGAGAGCAGACTGGGACCGAAGAACACTATCTGCGAAGAGCACTGTGGTGAGGGCAGTAAGCGGTGGGAGGCGCTGATCTGGGTGGTGGCATCGGGGCATATGCACGGGCCCCCGGCGTGTCCTGGGCTCTGCCGACCTGCACTCACCTGCGCTCATGACACCCTGTACACCTGTGTCCTGGATGCAGCGCTCCACATCCTGTAGGCTCTGGATGTTCCCATTGGCAAACACAGGGATGGCCACAGCTTTCCTGTTGGCAGAGAAACACCTGTCCCTCGTCCCACCTGGGACCGCGCCCAGGCCCCAGGCAGACCCCCAACTATCCTGGCAGGTAGCTTCTGCTCCCACAGCGATGCTGCCCCCAGCCTCGGCCCCAACCCCCTTGGTGGTCACAGGTGTCAGGTGTGCCAAGCACCCTGAGGTGTGGAGCTGGGCCCCCCACCAAAGCCCCAAGGACTGAGGACTGCATCACCCACTGCTCTTGTCCTTGTCCACTCACCGCACGGCCTTGATGTGCTCCCAGGACGCTGCACCCGACAGGGGCCCCTTCTGCTCCTTGGTGCGCCCATGCACTGTCAGCAACTAGGACAGACCAGCGGTCGTTTGACTCCAAAACCCTCCACCCTCCTCTGCCCCCCGCCGCC